CATCGACTGAGGGTTTGGTATGGGTCAGCAACCTTTTCATTCATTATTCTTCATTTTCCCTCATCGTTATCTCAAAATTCCTACTTAATTTAGTAGCAAAAAAAGTGAGCAATTGCGCATATAAATATGCTATAGTAGCATGTGTTATACACACACACATTGTATAAGTATGTGTTATAACACATACTAATACACAGTTATAAAATATAACTTATATGTTTTTTAAGATCATTGAGCACTCTATTTGTAAATAATAACACTAACATAATTTTTATATACAATAAATAAATAAATATATATGTATATATATATATATATATATATATATATATATATATATATATATATATATATATATATATATATATCCTTATAGTGTAGTCAAAAGAGACTTTTATGGTAAAAAAAGTCTCTTTCGACTACAATTTTTTTACCTTGTCTCTTAAGCTGCATTTTATTGTTGTTGAAATGTCAAAGCAATTAAATTAATGCGGAAGTACATTAATTAGTGGTGTTTTTGCTTTTGTATTATTAAAAAACATTTTTAAAACATGCGTAAGTGTTGCTACATCGACTATCTTAAAGCCTGACTCGCAACGGAGTGCTGCTACATCGACTAACAAATAGACTGACTCGTAAGGGAGTGCTGCTACATCGACTGACAAATAGCCTGACTCGCAAGGGAGTGCTGCTACATCAACTGATAAATAACCTGACTCGCAAGGGAGTGCTGCTACATCGACTGAGGGTTTGGTTTGGGCAGGCAGTCTATCATTTAAAATAAAATTTTTCTTTTTTTAAATTTTTTAACATTTTCTAGTAAGGCTTATTAACGCGCTCTTTAAAACAACAGTTTATGGGAAAAACTTTGTGACTACCATGCAAGACTATACATACATATATATATATATATATATATATATATATATATATATATATATATATATATATATATATATATATATATATATATATATATATATATAGCCTACTAGATGGCGATTTTTGGGGACATGTTTTTTTTGTTCCCATTCTGTTTTTTTTTTTTTACTTTTTTTATACTATTTTTATCATATTTATATATATTTTTTAATTTTAATTTTATTTCTATTTTTTTAAATTTATTATTTTATTATAAAAATATATTTTTTATATTAATTTTTGTTATTTTTATTTATTTATTTTATATTATTTTTCATTTTTAACTTCATCTATTTACAAAAATGATTCATTACAATAATATAACCAAATTTAAACCTTGCCGTAACCCTAACCGTAAGCCTGATCTTGATGCCTGGTCTAACCAAACCCTCAGTCCATGTAGCAGCACTCCCTTGCAAGTCAGGCTATTTGTCAGTTGATTTATGTACTTTATATATATATATATATATATATATATATATATATATATATATATATATATATATATATATATATATATATATATATATATATATATATATATATATATATATATATATATATATATATATATATATATATATATTTATATATATACATATATGCTCAAGTTTTAAAAACGACTAATGGTTTTTTTTCTCTATAGAATGTTGAAAGAATCTCTATAGAATGTTGAAAAGTAAAAGAATACTATTTATATTTGCGAAAGTAATGATTTTTACTGTGAAACTAATAACTGTTATATACATAATATACATTGAAGCAGAAGAATGTTCAAAAGTAAATTTACAAAAAATAACGTGTTAAATGCTTACACTTGAAGGTTGTCTGACTTTTCATCAAACTAGATATTATCAGTGTTGTAAAAAAAGTAAATAACTTCAAATATAAAAACAAATTTTAAACCATATCTAACTTATATGTTTGTTCATTCTCAATAACAATAAAATGCTTAAATAACAACTGATTTGAAAAATTTTAAAAAGTTATTATTACTAGATGTCAAAATTTTGTCAACCTCTTCTATAAAATATTTTCATAACCAAGTCTTTCTTTATCTATGGAACCCATCCCAGCTTCATTTGAGAATCAGATACAGCTGCAATTGCATGGATCTTTGATGAAATCTTGCATTCATTGGTCTATGCTTGAAATCAACTTTAACTAAACTTCCACTGTATATGACTTTTGGAACAGGCATCAAAAGTTTCTTTTAAACTGTTAGCATAAAGAATCCCAGAAAGTAACATTATCATTGAAGTTTACCCAAATCATCAGCAATAGGTATCACCAGTTGTTTGTAAGATTTTGGAGAGCTTCTCATTTACTCTTGGTTCCAAAAGGCAATATATGGCATCATATGTAGAATTCTATTGAGTCCCTCTGAATTTTCTCAAAAAAATATTAATAATATTCTCCACAGCATCAGATATTTGTATGCTTTGGTTAACATGTGGTCGCAGGTTTGAGTAATTAACCATTGTACCTATGTATTGTTGTTTTTACAAATCCACAGCATTTTAAATTAATTTTAGAATATCACTTATGGCATGCTGACCATGTGTACCAACCACACAGACAGTGTTGTTGGTACACATGATTGTGTTTTAATAAATACTTTTTATTACTTTGTTCTTATTTGTCAAAATGATATCAACATCATCCAATAAATTTGTGTTTCTGATAATTCTATTGACACCACACTTTCACTATCTTTATATTAAAATTGGTATTACCTTAAAATTAATTGAATGCTTTTGACAAAATTGGAACTATTGGTGATCACAGGCAAAGTTATGAGGTGATAACAAAGTCTAAAGTTGGAATGTTTGTTGACAAATTGCTCTGAAAATGCATTGTATGACATTCTTTGAAACATTTGAAGGCCAACGAACATTCAAGATTATATTCTGCAATCCAGTAAGCTGTAACACCCATATTTTTTTAAATAGCTTGATATGTTTGCTGTCATATATATGGAAACTTTCTTTTTAATGCGATCTTTAAATGTATTAAAAAATACTTTCAAGTTTAGCATTTTGCTTGTTTCTTCCTCACCCATAATTGTGGATGAGAGAGAAACGCCAGTAAAACTAAATAACAATATGCTATCTTTTTCCTAAATCTCACTAGATTCTTACTTTTTTTTAAACAATAAAAATTAAATTATAATTTTATTTATCTTTACAAAATGAAAATCTCCATCCGCAAATTCTAGTGATAGTAAATATTAATAATTTATATCAAACTTTTAAAAAGTGATACTAAAAACCGTATAAATACATAAACAATAATTATTAATTTAGAATTGAATTTAGAACAAAGTATTTACAAAATCCTTGACTAAAAAAATTACTTGACTTTAAAAACTTGGCTAAATAAAATAAACACTTTACTAAAAAAGTCTAAAATACTTTAAAAATAAACACTTTAAAACACTGCACAAGTTTAAATTAGTTTATAAATACTTTAGCCAATAAATTTTGTTTGATAAAAATATTTGAGTCTATACATTTTGTTTCATATCAATACTTTAGTCAATATTCTTTGTTTGATTTAGGTTTAAAAGTTTTCATTGAAAAATCGCAGATTTCTTGCAGATTTTCATGCAAACCTTTGAAAATGCTCAAAAATCTGAACAAATTTTAGATTTCCAAATATATAAAAGTAAAACTAAAAATTATTAGAAAAAAAAATACCTAAATCAAAATTATTTGAGTTGATAAGAAAGTCAGGCAAATAAAAAAATTCAGGAATTAATTCTTTTATATCTGCCATATTAGAATGAGAAGCTGAAATCCATGAGTCTTTTATAGAATGAAATAAACGATCAGGAAGATCAAAGTGACCACCCTGAAATACGTAAAAATTTAAACATTATAAATTAAAAAATTGAAAATTTCTTTTAAATAAAAACACACAACTAATCACTCGCCTGTAATCGAAGAAAATGTTGAGTAAATGGCTCCAAACGAATTAAATATGAAGCTACAATCATGGCGGATGAATAGTGAGTTCCATAATAATAAGCTGGTGTCTTTCCTAAAATAAAAACAGTTTAAACTGTTGTCTTTCCTAAAATAAAAACAATATAAGCTGTTGTCTTTCCTAAAATAAAAAAAATTGAAGCTGTTGTCTTTCCTGAAAAAAACAAACAATTTAATTGTAAACTAAAAAAAAAATGTTTTCTAAAATTTTCATTTGAAATCAAAATTTTTTTCCTTTAATAGTAAAAATGATAAAATGTATGATAAAATTACCAGAAGGATCTTCCCATTCTTTAAAACGCTTTCTATAATGAAATAGTCTTTCTTCACTCTGGGCTCCCATTGGTTTAGATAAATCTCGAAATGTGGAAGGATTCGTCAAATCAAGATACTAAACAATTGATTGTAAATGGGTTTTAAATAAAGCAAAATTATACTGAAATTTCAAAACAAATTTTCTTTAAAAAAGCTATTCTATTAGATTTAAATAAAAATGAAAAAACTTTTACAAATTTTTTTAACAACAAATTTTTTATGTTCTTTTTATAAAATGTTATTTTTTAAAACTTTTACATAATTTTTGCTTCAGGACCCTATGTGGCATATTTTTGAAATGTTTTTTTTTGATAATATAAAGGAGCCTGTTAAAAGACTTAAGCTACCGCTGATTTTTTTTCATTTCATAATATATTATTTTATTACATAGAATACATTTAGGGGTGTAATAAAATATTTTTATGAATTGTTGTTTTTTTAAACCACCCTAAATTTATAAATACATTGTCCTCAAAACAAAAAAAAATGTGTCCATATTCTTAAGTACTTTTCAAGAATGTACTTGAGAATGGACATATCAAGACAAATCCTTTTAATAAATCAATGAAGAATGTACTTAAGTATATGGAAATATAAAAATCAAATCCTTAAATATAATAAAATAGAATGAACTGAGAATATGAAAAAATAAAGAACATCCTTTGAATTAAATTAAATGTAAGAATATGTTATTTAAATTAAATACTATTATTACAGTTTTTCTTAAAGTTTCTTTTTCATTACTAAAAGTTGTTTTAGTGATTTTATCTCACCTAATGAATACACCACTGCTTTTGAGGAACTTTATTTTATGATTTAAATTGTTTTAGTTACAATGTAAATTAACACCAAATTACTAAATGAGGCAAAAGTTGTTGATCAGATGAACTGAATGAGACTTTTAAAAGTTGTTTATCTTAAAAAGCAATATGAATCTGATAATATTGCTAGATAATAATTTATTGGGTTTTTAACATTTTACAAATTGAATTATGATTTAAAAAGTTTTAAAACATTAACATGGAATCAAATGTTAAAAAAATAGAACAAATATATATCTTACATCACTAGTGTAATCTGCTAATATCCATGGCATAATGGGGTACTGCATTAAGTCATTGTATGAGCGACCAGCCAAAGTGTTTAAATATATAAGATACTGGAAGTTCGTTATTTCTCCTCGAACCCATCTTTGTGTAACAGATCGCTCACCAGTCATTAAACTACTCAATATATTTTGACTAGATTCAAGGTTAACATCAGAACTCATACCAGCAATAGATTCCTCACTATTCGATACTGATGAAACATGACAAATTCTAAAACATCAACATTTCAAATGAAATTTGGGTAATATATAAATAAAGATAAACATAGTTAATTAATTATAGTGTTTTATAAGATTTTAATCACTTTTAACTTTAAATATTTTGTTAAAATATTTGTTGTTGCTTTTTGAACTTTGAACTTTTCTGTATGTTTTCACTACACCTTTTTGAAATTTAATCTTTTTCAAAAGCTTTTTAGAATATTTAGGTGATATTATATTTTAAAACTTCAAGAAATATGATTTTAATAAACTTCAGAAACAACAATTAAGTCTAACGATTAAAACCCAATTAAGTTTTTTAGAGTAAATAAAGTGTATAAAAACAATTTCATTCAAAACTGAATTCACCTGTATAACTATATATTATAATTATTTACTGTATTCACCTGTATAATCATATTTTAACTGTTTTAAACTGTAATCATATATACAAAACCATTTTTTTTTCAAACTGTATTCACCTCCCCATGTTCACAGATGCAACTACAGTCAAGGAGACTTCTCTCTTTTTTTTTAATAAATTAAAATTTTTTCAAACGCATATTTTAAACACTAGTATTTTATGTTTCATTTTAACAGTTAAGTTGATAAATAAAATTTTAGTAATGCTATGATAGACAATAAAATTAGTAATGCTATGATAGACAATAAAAAGCAATAATACAGAAATAAGAATTGCCAGAAGAAGAGAAGAAAAACTATAGTTTTCTAAACCTGTGGTCAGTTCATGAACAATTAGTTCATGAACAGGTTGTGAACTGTGGTCAGTTCATGAACAATTAGTTTCTATTAAAAAAAAAAATCTATGAAAATAAATTCATATAATTGCAACAAAATATTTGGTGCATTCTTCTATTTAGCAATGTTTTAAAAATGTTTGTAATGTTTTAAAAATAAAATAGTATAGTGATCTCTAGTCAGCAAAAGAAGCTTTGAATTCCTTCGAACACACATAAAGCTTTAAATTCCTTCAAACACTTAAGATTTATGAAATATTTTTGTTAAAGGTTTAAAATCTTCAAAAATTAAGAAGCAATAAATAAAAAAAAATATATATATATATATCATACAAAATGGATAACTCTGAATACACGCAAAGTTGACAGAGCAGCTCCCATTTTGTGCAAAAGAAAATGTCTCTGTTACTCGTACATTGATAAATAATCATAAAGTTATAATTTTATTTAGATTTGTAGAATTATCAATTTCTACACATATATAAACAACATCAACTTTATTCCAAAAAAATAAACAATAAAATCTAAATTGAACAAAATAACATTACCTGCTATAAACTTTGTCCCTAGCAGCTTGCTTTGGAAACACAAGTAAATGATTGTTACCATCATTAGCAAACACTTCTATTGCAATGTCCTGCAAAATATGAGAGAAAAAAGGATTTATTTTTTAAAACCAGACTTTATCAAAAGCCTTTGATATTTCAAGAGCAATAGCCTTTGCCTCACTGCTTCAATCTTTTGCCTCACTGCTTCAAACCTTTCTGTTATAAGAAGTCAGAAATAAAACAAGAGGATCAAAAATCTGTTTGATGTTGAACTTAACATGAGATATTAGAAATATAAGTTTAAAAATTTTGCTAATAATAGTTAGAAATGTAAGAATCTCCAAATCTAAAGTTTTTAAAAAATTGGAATCACTAATACCAGTTTCCAACTGTCTAAAGAACACTTTTGTAAGACTGAAGAGAACACTTTTGAAAGAACATATTTGTATGACTAAAGAGAACACTTTCTAAAGAACACATATGTAAGATTGAGGAAAACCCTTTTGCAAGACTGCATCAAAAATGTTGCCAACATCACAAGTTGTAGAAGAAAAGTGAGAAATAACTTTAATTAAATTAAAAGTATTTTGGCTGTCTTAAAATAAAACAAAAAAAGTGTGAATAAGTGGAATTCAATAATTAGATTCAACAAGTGAATAGAACGCTTTTTAGATTCTAAATGTTAGACTTGCCATTGTTAATGACATTGTAAAAAAAATATTGCTCTTGTACAAAAGATATTAGAAAAGGTACAAAATATTAAGTAAGTCTGGAAAACAAACTACAAAGTTAACTATCTTAGTAAGAGATCAAAGAAAAGGTTTTGAGCTATAGAGCCAAACCATTCAGTTTGATGACTAATAACAACAATATTGACTGAAAAATAAAGAGAAAAGGCTTAATTTGATCAGAACTAACTTTAAAAAGTTTTTAAAAAAGCTTTAAAAAGGAAAAAAAATGACAATAAAAATCAAAAATGATGATTAAAAGGTAATGAAATTGAGTGAAAAGTTGTTGAATGAAAGCACATAAAAAAATAGTCAGAAAATTCAAACCTGATTTCAAGACAAACAGGTTAGCTGATATGTAAGTATATTCCCAGACCAATTATGTGACAACTTAAGTCCTAGCAAAACAGATAATAGCCATCTACACTAATATATTAAACCTCTGAACTTCGTCTCACAAAGAGCAAGTAAATCTGGTAATATTTAAAGAGATCTAGCAGATGAATATTTACTTTAAAAACCACAAATAATTGGAAAAAAGAGATTTATTAAATGTGAAACAATTAGTTAGTAATGATGATTTTTTTTTGTGCAATATTTTTATATTGTCTATATATTTTATACTTTATATATTTTTATCACATAACTTAATTTGATCATAGATAGTGCATGACACCCTAAACAGTAAACTAAGCAGTAAGTTTGCAATAAAATACACTGACTTTCAGTTGAAATGCAGGTGTCATGTTATATAAAAACAAATAATGTAGTTAAAAAATAGGTAATGAAAAAAAGTATTCATAACAGTTGTAAGTTTATAAACATTATTAAGAATATTTAAATTATTAAGAATTTTAAAAATCATTTGTTGTATAAATAATGAAAATAAAAAAGATAATAACAAATAATTTTAATATTAACAATATTTACCTTGAGTAAATATCTTCTCTTATGAACTTTTAATATTAACAATATTTACCTTAAGTAAATATCTTCTCTTATGAACTTTTAATATTAACAATATTTACCTTAAGTAAATATCTTCTCTTATGAACTTCTCGAATATCTGAAAAACTCCATTTGCTTAAACTATAAAAAAACTAAAACTGATATAAAACTCAAAAAAAAAAAAAAAAAAAAAATCAAAAAAAAAAAAAAAAAAAAACCAATACAATAAAACTTAAACTAATTATTAATTGGTTCCTATCAACTTTTTAAATATCTAGGATTTTTTTAATAATTTTTTTTTATCTAAAAAAATTATACATATTTTTTTCATTTAGCCATTTTATTTCAGAAGTTTAAGACCATTTTGCATTTTTTCCATTTTCAAGTTAAAAACAACTGTGTTTTACTTCTAAATTATGATTTGACAATATTCTCTATTAAATTAGTTGCATATTTTTTATATCAGTATTTTGTAGGCTCTCCTTTTGATCTTGGCTTTGGTGTGGATGCTGAGAATCAAGTTGTTGCAGTACTTAGCAGATATTTCTTCTATCTAAATTACCTTTATTGCTTCTTTCAATCATTCAATTATTCTTCATAATCTTGCATAGATTTTCAATAGGGTGGAGGTCTGGGCTGTTCCTAGGCCAAGGAGGGTTCCAGTTTCCAGTTCCAAGGAATGAAAATTTGATTTTTACTGAGAAATTCTGCACAACCTTTCCTCTGTGGCAAAAAGCTCAAAAGGCCTGAAAATGGTTATGTACAATTGCAATTTTTCCTGTAGAAAAATTTCACATATTTGGCTCCATTCATAGTTATTCCTTAAGGCAAAAAATAAAGCCTAACAATCCCAAATTTTGACACCCCAAATCATCTGACTTAGTGGATGTTTTATTTTTCTAATTGTGTAACGTTTCTTAAATCTTTTACCTGCATGTCTTCTATTGTGCCTTATATAACTCTGCTCCGGTCTTCGACAGTCCAGTTATTGTGTTTTTTGGCAAAGGCATTATGTTTGGATTTCATAAAAGCGGTTTACTGGGGTTTAAAAACTGGTTTATATGATTTAGAACTGCACTCATATCTCAGACAAGAGGAAACTGCTATAGAATTCATATTTGTACTTGTCTAAAGCATAGCAGCACATATCTTTCTGCAGGAACTTGTGAAAGAACAAGTAGTTATACACTTTATTAAGTGGTCATCTCTGAGAATGGGTTTTCTTGGACGCATATTTCATAAAAATTCTGAGAAGTATTGAAATTCATAATTTCAGTGTACACAGCTGTCTTACTACAAATCACTTTTACACTAATCTATTGTTATGAATATCCCTTACTTGCTGCTCCGGTAACACTGATAGTACTGTTTCAATCATAAATTATGTTGAAACCGTTGCTGATGCAATAGCAATATAGTACAAATAATTATTGCATTCTATTGTATCATTCTATTTAGTATGATGCAACAATGAGCACTAATCACACATTACCCTTATTACAACTAGGTGGTCTTAAACTTTTAGTAATAACAGTAATATACTGATATACACAATGAGTATTATACAAAATAAATTTATAAAATTTATTGAAAAAATAAAACTCATACGATCTCTGAAGCATAAAGTTTCCTTTGGTGGCAGGTATAAGCGGTTCATGAGAACCTTCTGGTAACGCATTAATGTCTTTGATTTCTTTTGCTTGATTAGAAGAGTTTGTGCCTTTTCTTTCAGCAGACATAAGTGTGAATCCATCAATTACATAAAAGTGTTTTCGCCCAAAAAGAAAAAGTCCTTCTGCACTGTCTAAACCACAAACTCTTGCACACCGATACATTGAATAAATCTAGGAATAAAAATTTAAATAACAAATACAAACAAATAATGTATACATAAAGCAAATAAACAAATAAAAAAACAAAAAACCTTTTCTCCATGTTCTAAAAGTTGAATAATAGTTTGGGTGTTTACCTAAATAAAAAAATACATAAATTCAGTTGTGGACAGGAAAGGTGGTGATTACACTGTATTACTGACCAGGCATTTTTTTTTTTTGCGGCAACTTAAACACGGCTAATGTTTTAAAAACGTTTGAAAAATGCGCTAAATAAAGTATAAGGTAATTAGGCAAGAAATTAATTATAAAGATTGTTTACTAGGGCGGGTCAGAACCATACTTTTTTTTAAACTTTGAAAAGCAACACTATGTGGAGTTTTTGAATTGGTATAATAAACTATGTAGACTAAATTTTTTTTTTTTACACACACCCCTAGGGGTTGCACCACACACCCTAATTTTTCCACAAAAAAAATTTTGTAAAATTTGTTTTTGTTTCCAAGTAAACATACTTTTAACAAAAGAACTTTGAGCAAAAAAAAAATTGTTGCTCAATTTCCGAATTATTAACTTCGTGCCTTAAATAAAGTTTCAAAAAAAGATATCATGTCGGCATAAAATTTTTGCTATGCTACTATGTAATTTTTAGTTAATTTGTTGCATTTTAGTTTTTATACATTGCATAATTAGTGCTTGTGTATATATTTGTCTACTTTTTATTTTTTAGTAATTAAAAATAAAATATAAATAATAATAAGCAACACATTGTATCATGGGAACATTTCATACTCGCACTAAAACTGACAACTTAACATTTGGACAAGGTTCTAAATTTCCAACTGCAATGATTGCTACAAAAAGAGATGTTGTGAAATATTGCTATTATGTTCACATAAATGAAGATGCTAAAGGCAAAGGATCAAGTTTTTCTCATAAATATTACAGATTAGTTACCACTGAAATTGAAAATATCTGGCATAAATTCAATTTTCCAACAATCAAAACATAGGGAGTATTCTCAAAAAGAACAATAAAAGAGTAGGATGCATTTGTTGGGCAAAAGAAATGCACAAATCAACTTGGACTACTTGATCGAGCCTACACACCAACTTTAAAGAAAACTGAAACTAGAAAAAAAAAATTTACAACAAGGCAAAAACAGTTAAACACACATAAAAATGTTGAGAAAGACATTGATAGACAAATTACCGATGACAATTTCTATGAATATGAGGATAATATCATACTAGATGAATCTAATAATGAATATGACAAGCTATATGACTCTGATGTCATAAAACAATGTAATCAAAATAGGTTTCATTACAATGAACCAGCAATTATAGCAGATCGTTATCATATCAGTTGCAGAGCAACTGCTGCTATTGTCAATGCTGCTCTTAAAGATATGGGTATACTAAATGAACCAAATATGCTTGATAGGAAAAAAAGTAGAAAGAGAAAAACTTCATATTGGACAAAAAAATGTAAATGAGATAAAATGCGAAAACTTGAAATTACAATGTATTGGTTTTGATGGAAGAAAAGACAATACAATAACAACTAGGGAAAATTAAAGAAGAACATATAACAATTGTTAGAGAACCAAGCAGTTATATATATCTTCCAACACCTGATAATGGAACTTCTTGCTGCATTGCTAATGAAATTCTGCTGCCAGTTTTAAATATTAAATTTGGAAAATTTGGAGGGGTAATAAAATTAATTGAAACAGAACTCGAAAGACCAATGCAGTGGCTTATTTGTCACCTACATTTAAATGAACTTCTCTTTAAACATGTATTTGAGTTGATTGATGGAAAAACTTCTGACCATGGATCATTTAAAGGAGAAATTGGTAAAAAAATACATTTCTACAAAAAAGCCAACAAAAGAAATTATTGACTTAGTTACAATAATAATGCAATGCTATGCATGAGGATGGTTCCAAATCAAATCAAATATTTGGCAATCAATGGCGCTCAAAATTTTTAATATCCTGCTCAATTAATTAAAAATGCAGTAATTGATGTAAAATACAAGCAGGTAATGGAGAAAGTTTTGAAGCAAAACTCGTATTTTTCTAACCCAGAGAATATTTTAATGGCAATTAAAAAAAAACTAAAAATAGTTGGAGTATTCACAAAGGCATCAGAAAATAGATATGGCTATGAAAAACGTCACAAATTTGTAATAAACCTGTTAGAGTCCAGGGAAAAAATGGCTAAATATGATTGGAAAGCGCAATGGAAATAAGACATTAATAAAAATATACATTTTTTTATAGCCTATAAAAACTTTTCTATTTTTTTTTATTATTTTATTATTTTTAAGTTTTGTTTCTTTGCTTTAAAAAGGTAATATTTGAACAGAAAGCATTTTAAAGCTTATATCCCTTATTTAACACATTGTATCCCTTATTCTAATAAAATAATTAACAGTATTTTAGTAGAACATTTTTGTAATATATCTAAATCATTACAATTACATAAAATAAAACAATTATAAAATAATTATATATAAAAGTTGCTTATACCCCCTTTTTCTCTAAAATGCCAAAAAATCCGATTTTGTGTGCGACCCCTACGAAAGCTAGCACAGATCTTAAAATTGGTATACATCCTACACACATATATAGGAACCCCCTACAATATGCTGCTTCTTAAAAAATTTTTTTGACCCGCCCTATTGTTTACTATAAAAAACATTTATTTAAATTATTGAAAGAGATTTTTAAAAAGTGTATTTTTTACGATGAATTTAAATGTTTATAAAAAACTTGTACAATTAATTTTATAAACAACTAAAACCATTTTATTAAATTAACTTTTTTTTTGTTATGCTATGTAAACTTTCTAATAAAATTTATTTACACTAAGCTAAACGCTTTTAAATAAACTTTGAAAATTAATTCTTTTTAAGATTAGTGCTATACTAAAAAATTGTAATGAAAAAAAACTTGTTAAAAAATGTTAAAGATACAAACAGCTAACATGAAGTGTAATTTGTGTAGAGTTTAATAATTTAAGAAAATTTCTTAATAATAAGTTTAATAACTTATGTAAATTTCTACACTTAAAAAATATATAAGTAAAGTTTTAAATCTAGAGTTTTACTATGACTTCACAAAACTACATAAAAACAGAATTTATATTTTATATTTCTAGATTTAGAATTTATATTTTATTTTTGTATTTACAACAATGACAATATCTACAAAACTACATAAAAACAGAACATCAAACTATTTCTTGAGTAATCAAATGATTCACATAAACTGCATATTATGTCTATGCTTTTGTTTTCAAGCTTGTTATAATTATCTTATATATAAATATTATCAGTGAAGCTACAACACTGAAAATGACATGGTTTGCTGCATTTGTCACATTGCACCTACACATGGCCTTAAATGGTGGTCTTTTATTAGAAGAATATAAGCTTAATGCGTGCTAACTTTTATGATGTTTTGATATACAATTTTTAAGAGCTTAAATAACACTTTAACTTTTGGAAACATAACTCTTGATGTTTATATGTACTAGAGAAAAGGCAGGAACATCTAGTGAGCAACCAAAAATTGACTTCTAAAAATTATATTTACATCAACTGTATCAAAATAATACATTTAATATTTTTTACTTCACTATTTACTAAACTTTATTTAGTAAACTTGGCAATGTTAATTTTTATCTCACTTTTTATTTTTCAAACACTTTTTATTTAAAAAAATGCCACTTAAAAACTTCAACCTGATTCAACCTGTTTAGTTATTTGTTAATCATGCAATGTAAAAGTGTTTCCATTAGAAATTGATTTCTGAAGGAAATAGACAATGAAGGAAATTTTGGTAATTCTTAAATTTTGCATGACAACAAAAGATAGAAATCCTTTTTCTTAAAGGTATTGACACTCCGTTTGATTGTAAAATTTATTTCAGAGTAACGCCAGTATTTTAAATAACAGTTATACTACAAAGCATGTATAAAACTTGATGATGGAAAAAATATTGGAGCATGGCTGAGAAGTATCATGACCTCATTTGTCCTATTTTCACAACTTAGTGCCAAATGTATTTGTTACAATCACAAGACAACAGCTTGTGCAATGAAAGATTTGACAACAAGGAGGCAGTCTGATAGCACTTTAAATACTTTTTTTTATTTAAAACCTAAATAGTTCTATACCAGTTGCATTCATTTTTTGCCTAAGCATTGGCAAGAAGATATAGACAATGATAGTGCATATATTGTTGAAGATTAGTCATGGAACTAAAAACAATATACTAATTTTTTTGAGAAAAGCATTTTAGTCAACCCACTATTTTTTTTTCCTCATTTAACTTTAATTTTTAATGATCAATACATATTTTAAAAAAAGTAGATAGCTCCCAAGTATTTCTACTTTAGCAAAGAGTATGGAAGTCAAACACCAGATTCAGGGGTAATTCAGACCTCTACAGTAATACCTAAATTTATTTCTCGACACAGCGACCTTAAAAAAACTAAAAAAAAAATATAAAAATTTTAAAACGTCAAAAGATTTTTGAAAAAAATAAATTTAAAAACAACTACTTCTTCTTTAGAATCTTCAGCTTCAAAACCATCAACAGAGTAGAGTTTAGGTTTCCATGTAAAAGGATTGCTTATTGCTGAAACAAAACAACACAATATATAATATAATATAATATATATATATATAAAATATGTATATATACTATATATATATATATATATATATATATATATATATATATATATATATATATATATATATATATATATATAAAATATATATATATTTATATATATATAAAATATATAATATATAATAAATATATATATATATTTTTTATTTTACTTCACCTCCTCAAGGCCGAGAAGGCCACTACAAACGAGGAGGCTACTTATTTTGTGGCTATAACCCTCTCTCAACTCTATAACTCCGAAACACGAACCTTGATGAACAAGGTCGCTGCGCAGAGAAATGAGTTGAGTGCGGTACTACCAGGGACGTGGCGTGGATATATATATATATATATATATATATATATATATATATATATATATATATATATATATATATATATATATATATATATATATAATATCATAGTCATAATATACATAGTCCGGCCAGTTTTAGAGCGCTATTGTTTATGTTATTGTTAGCTTTTTTTTAGAACCCAGTCTACCAATGAGTGCACACTTTTTGTAAACAAATGCGCATTAAGAAGAATATTTACAAGAAGATTATTGATTTATCCTTGATTTTTGCAAATGCCTTGTCTTAATTGTTACATATTTGGTTCTGGAACTTTTCGAAGAAGTATAAATGTTTTTCTATAGGAAATATTTTCTTCCGATGATGATGTTTATAACAAAGAATCAAGAACAAAAGTTTTACAAATTATAAATAAAAATAAATCTTTAGTTATAATATATTAAAACTAAAGATAAAGTATGATATCAGATAACTTTTTTTTTGATCGACAGATTTACTACCTTCAATAAATTAACCAGTTAAGAGCTTTTCATTGGTATATATATAAATATTTATATACATACATATGTATATATATGTATGTATATATAAGTACATATAAATATATATAGGCTTATATATATATACATATATATATGTCTGTGTATATATATATATATATATATATATATGTATATATATATATATATATATATATATGTATATATATATATATATATATATATATATATATATATATATATACATATACATATAAATAATATTTTATAACATTATATACATATAAATATAATTTATAAATATATATTATATATATACATATATATATATATAAGTATATATATATACATATATATTTATAAATATATATTATATATATATATATGTTGTATATATATATATATATATATATATATATATATATATATATATACATATATATATATATATATATATATATATATATATATATATATATATATATATATACATATATATAAATATATATATATAACACATATATATATATATATACACACATTTATATATACAAATATAATTATGTATATATGTATTATAATAATTATAATAATTAAATTATTATAATTTATCATAATAATTTTATTTATTATGTTATAATAAATATAATTAATAGTCTTATTTACTATAAATAAGATATCTTATATATTCCCAATATTATATATATTTATGTATATATAATATATAAACATTTAATATATATATATATATATATATATATATATATATATATATATATATATATATATATATATATATATATATATATATATATATATATATATATATATATATATATATATATATATATATATATATATATATATGTATATATATATATATATATATATATTAGGGTGGTGCAAAAAAATTTTTTTTTTAATTTCTTTGATGGTTCCATTTCTTTATGTGACATTATGTGTAGGAATAACAATCGTGAAGTTTGGGCATGATTGAATAATTTTTAAAGGTTGCTCATCAACATCAAGTTTTTTACTTTTTGGGTTTGAGTTCTCTTTTAGTGTGCAATCCCAAATTTTGAATAAATTATGATACAACATTGCATTTTAACTCTTACTGTATATTAATCCAAAACCATGCAGTATTTTTTAAACTGAATTATATATATTATTGTTTACAAATAAAATAATTGAAGAATAAAGTAATAAACTTCTGGTTTATAATAACGTATTTGTGTTCACTATAGTAAAGACAAATTTAAAAAACAATAATAGTTCCAAAAAATCTTAAAAATTGTTAGAGTTTTAGGTTTCATTTATATTTCAGCTTCTTTGCAAAAAATTATTGTAATCTATGAAAAAAAAATTCATTGGTTTTTGTTTCCATCGTTTTTTTGATGACTTGGTTCCATCGAGCAACAAAGATTTATGTGGCAGAGGAAACTTTGACCTGTGTTCAGAGACTACCTGCATCAAGAATTGCTTTTGTTCTTCATTTTTGGTAATTGAACAATTAAAATCCTGAATTAGTTTTACTCCTCTTTCAGCCGTATCATTAACAACTCGTAGACTTTTTACAATTTTTTCTGCCTGTTGAAACTCTTCATTTTCGGTCCACTTGTCAGGATCAACAGTTGTCAAAAAAGTAGTTGGTAATTCCAAAATGTTGAAAAAATTTAAGGTATTCTCTGTTACAAAACTTTCTATTTGCAGATTTTCAATTGAAGTTAAATCGATTTATATTCTTTTCTGTGGTTCATCCTCTCCAGCATTTTGTAGAGCCAAAACCATTTTTGCTTTTGTTTCCTTGCTGATCTCCTTATCAAAAAAAGCCAATGCTACCATTTCTTCACTTAGATACCATAAATGCCTCGAAAATGCTGTTGCTGCAGCTGTAAAAATTCCATTGTTAATGGCTTTATGTTGAAAAACAGTCTTCAAGAAAGTGAGATCATTCGACGGAGCAAGTGTTGGATTGATACATGATATCCAAAATTTGGCGTACACCAAACTAGTAAACAAGCTAATACCTCGAAGTGATTTTTCTTCTTTTGCCGTTAATTTGAACTGCCTTTTGAACATCCATATTTTCATTGAATATAAAATTTTGGCCATCCATCTTCCTCTGTGTATGGCTCCGGGAGCCATTACATGAGCCCCACGAGGAGGAACATTACCAAGAAACAACAAGGTTAGTTCAAACAATTCCTTGTAGTCATCTCGATATTGTTTACCAGATTCAAGAACTGTTTTCAAATAAAATAGTGCATCCTGTTTGAGTATGGTGTGAGAAGCCAAAATGTCCAAACATGTTTGATCATTTAACGCAGTTTCATAACTATTTTGGTCAATTAATGACCACTTGTCACGAAAACGTTTAAATAATCCTATTTCAGGACCACTGGATTGCCCAAGAGAATGCTTAAAAACATCACTCAAGACGATTTCATACATATGATGACGGCATGCCAAGTGTAATAGTTCTCTATTAAGCTTTTTTTCAATTAAAGTACACGCTCCAGCTTCGATACCAGTGTTGGCAGCCGTTGTATCAAAACTAATTGCTTTAACTCGGTCTTGAATGTCCCAATCTAGTAAAGTTGTTATAACAGCTTCACTTATTGCTTTACCAGTACCCCTTGTTAACTTTGGAATGCCAAGAAGCTGGTCAACGTTGTAACCTGTAACAACAACTGCTAATCGATCAACTGAATCTCTTCCAGTAATATTTGGCAATATTTTGCCATCAAAATGAACAGTCAATGGAACATTTGACGAGTTGAATGCAAACTTTATGGTTGTAGCAATTTTGTTTCGATTAGTAATTCTAGCTCTCCGGCTCGTATCGCGACTAATAGCAAAATCTGTAATGTCATGACCTAAACCTTTTGCTGCAGCTGCCAGTAAATAAGTCGCTTGGCGATCCGTGACGTTGGTTCGGTCAAGAGCAGATGCTAACTCAGGTGAAATAATATTTTGAGATCACGATCGCTTTTTTACAACATTTTGATTAGATTTCTTTGGTTTCATAAATTCTTCATCTGAGGTTTCAGTGTCAGATGTAGACTTGTCAGATAGGTGCATTGAACCAATGTGACTTGTATTTTCAGCTTCTTTTTTTCGCTTTTTTTCCTGAAAACGTCTGGACTCTTCTAATTCTTTTCTTTTCTGGACACGTTCTTCTGTTTTTGCCAATGCCATGTCAACTCCGGCCATGTATCCCTTACGTTCACCTCGCTGATTTATTAGAAATAGTCTGTCTTCTTCAATTGTAATCAAACTCATGGCATCAGCATGTGCTATATCAAAAATGCGATCAATTTCTTCACAAAAAACATTTTCATTTGCTGTTTGTGTTACCGAAGCTCGTTTCATGTTTTTCTTTATTTTAGCCCATTTGTAAAAAATATTTTCAAGTTTTTCAATTGCATTACATTCAATAGTTGTTGGAATTCTTGCCATATTCCACAAATGAAATACTTCTCGAATGACACACCTTGCACTTTGTCTAACGATTTGTTTTTCTATTTTGTGAAGTTGAAAAAATACTGCAAGAACTTGACGACATGTTGGAAGCTTCATCCCAGAAATATTTGGAGAAACAGACCCAACAAGATAAATGTCAGTAGTTGTTCGAGTTTCAATTTTTTTCGAAAACGAAGGGAAAGATAAATGAGAATTCATATTACAGGATATTTCTGAAAATCAAAATATAACCTGAGTAAAACAATTGTTATCACAAAATGAATTTATTTTTTTAAAGCCTCAAATCAGCACTCATATGAACAAAAATTAAAATGCTTTGCGGTATATTGTCAAAGATAGTTGCACACTATTAAATTAGAAAAATATATTTAAAAATATTTAAAATCTATTAAAATAATTATCATAATTAATTAAATTAAATCAAATTAAGAGTTATGTCATAATAAAATAAATAAACAAATGTACATATTAAAAACTTCACAGTAACGTTAGAATAGGAAAATAATGGCAATTAAAAGAGGAAACATGGCCATGAGCGACCTCTAAAAGTCATTCAAATTTGCTTAAATTTTGCAGGAATTAATATAATGATAAAAGGAACAATAGGAAAAAGTACCACATTGATTTTTGAAACTTTTGAAATTGTCAATATATTTGTGCA